GAATTGAAAATTATTTTATTTTCGCTGTGCATGATTAAGTAAATTCCCAACATATAAAGCCTAATATGTATCCACAGTTGTTTGAGATAAGTTTATATTCTAAACTCAGTATTTGGTAATCGCCGCCAAATCATTTCTATGACCTTATCACAAAGAAATTGTTACAGGAAAAGCAACATCAGTTCAACTTGGTAAACACTCGGGTGTGAATGGATGAATCAAAGTTGATTCTTCAATGAAGAGTCGTGTCGGCAAGGCTTGTCAGTTTTTGCAATAGTAAAGAGGACATTTCTAAAGATGAACCATGTAAGCAACTGAGTGGTGCAAGAGTGATAATATTCTGCAAGGATCGGGTCCTACTATAGGAATGTTGAGAATTGACTTGTTGGCACTTGGCAGTAGTCTCCTTGCATTTGATTCAAATTGTAGAAATTTTTTAATAAAGCTCTTCTGGTATAAAGGTATAATAAAACTAAAAAAAATCAATACATCTTCTTAGTACAAGCAAAATTATTTCAAAAATGAGAAGCATCCTCTTCTTACTAATCACCCTGTCCCTTTTGCATTCTGCAATTTCAAAGTCTATGCTTCGTTTGAGAAAGGGTGCTTCTATATCTGTTGAAGGCAATACTTTCATCATCTCTCCAGATAATTCATTTACCTGTGGCTTTTATGCCATGCCCAGAAGCAACGCATATTGGTTTTCAATTTGGTTCACCAATTCCAAAGACAAAACCGTTGTTTGGACAGCCAACAGGGACAAGCCAGTTAACAGCCAGCGGTCAAAAATATCTATTCAGAGAGACGGAACCATGGTCTTGACAGATGTTGATGGAAGCATTACATGGCAAACAGATAAGCGCGCTGCTGATGTTTCTGCAGCTGAGCTTCTTAATACAGGCAACCTCGTTTTGAAGAACCCACAGGGCAATATTCTCTGGCAAAGCTTTGACGTTCCTACTGATACTCTTTTACCTTCTCAAATATTGACCAAGGACATAAGATTGCTATCATCCTTAAGAAAAGGAAGCTTCGAAACAGGTTACTTCAATTTATATTTTGATAGTGACAATGTTTTGATGTTGACCTCTGATAGCCCTGAAACATCTAGCATCTACTGGCCATATCCTGGAGTTAATATCTATGAAAATGGAAGAACCAACTACAATGCTAGCAGAAGAGCAGTTTTAGATGATATGGGCACGTTTCAATCAAGTGATAATTTTCAAGCCAATGCTTCTGATATAGGATTTGGAATAAAACGAAGGTTAACATTAGATAATGATGGGAATCTTAGAATCTATAGTTTGATTAATTCAACAGGGCTATGGATGATAACATGGCAAGCAATTTCACAACCTTGTCAAGTACATGGAGTGTGTGGAAGATATGCGATATGTGTTTATGCACTGAAACCCAAGTGTATATGTACTCCTGGATTTGAAGTAAACAATCCAAGTGACTGGAGTGCTGGTTGCAAGCCTGCATTCAGAGAAAGCCTCTTGAATTCGCTGGTAAAATTTGTGGAGGTTTCCCGAACAGATTACTTTGGGTTTGATTTTGATTTCAAACCAAATTTTACACTCGAAGCTTGCCGGGAATTCTGTTCAGGAGATTCCCGTTGCAAGGCATTTACCTACAAGACATGGGGAGCAGGAAGTTGCTATGTAAAAAGTGAACTTTTCAATGGCCTTATGTCTCCAGATTTTCCTGGAAGTACGTACATTAAACTTCCCTATAGACTGCACGTATCCAAACCATCATTTTTTAATGGTTCCAGCACAATGTGTGAATCTCGTGAAGCAGATATTCTTGTAGGTTCTCCTTCTATGTATGACTTCACAAGAACGACAGTGAGATGGGTGTATATCTACTCATTTTGCGGGGCCCTTGGGGCAATTGAACTAATATTTATTGTAGTAGGCTGGTGGTTTCTATTCAGGAAACATGGTGTTCCAGCTTCGGTTGAAGCAGGATATCGCATGATATCCAGCCAGTTCAAGAGGTTTAGCTACGACGAACTGAAGAAAGGAACCAATAATTTCAGGGAAGAGCTAGGCCGAGGAGGCTCTGGCATCGTTTATAAGGGTGTTTTGGCAGATGATAGGGTGGTGGCAGTGAAGAGACTGGGAGATGTGTTTCAAGGACAAGACGAGTTCTGGGCAGAGATCAGAACCATAGGAAAGATCAATCATATGAATCTTGTGAGAATGTGGGGATTTTGTTCAGAAGGGAGACAACGACTCTTAGTATATGAATATGTCGACAACCTGTCACTTGATAAACATCTTTTCCACTCAAATTTTTTGGGATGGAAACAAAGATTTGCAGTGGCACTAGGTACAGCTAAAGGTTTGGCCTACCTCCACGATGAATGTCTAGAATGGGTAATCCATTGTGATGTGAAGCCTGAAAATATTCTTCTTGATGGTGAGTTACAACCCAAGATAGCAGATTTTGGGCTAGCAAAGCTGTCCCGGAGAGACGGCTCTGGTTCAGATATATCAAATATTCGGGGAACAAAAGGATATATGGCTCCAGAGTGGGCACTAAACTGTCCAATCACTGCAAAAGTCGATGTCTATAGCTATGGGGTTGTAGTCCTGGAGATGATAAAGGGAATTAAGCTCTCGAATTGGGCTGTGGATGATACCGAAGACCGAGAAATTCCTCTTAAAAGTTTTGTCAGGATAGCGAAGGAGAAAATTCAGTGTGGAAACTCCTATTGGGTAGACAGCATAGTGGATCCAAGACTGGAAGGGCGATTTAGCAGAAATCAGGCAGCAACATTGATTGAAATAGGGTTATCTTGCGTGGAGGAAAACAGAAACAAGCGCCCCATGATGGCTTCAATTGTCCAAACTCTCATGGAATGTGAAGATGAAACGGAAATTTAAATTCCTGGAGAACTATAATTGCATTAGTGCTTTTTATTTGCTTGATGTTTTCACTTTTTTCATTTTAGAAAATGTAATTAGAATAATTAACCTTGTAAACAATGTGAATTTCAAATTGTTCTGAGTGCAACTTTGTAAAATTTGTCCACATCATCAGCAACTTACTTGGCCAAGAAATTGTACACATACGTGCCATGTCACGTTTTCCGTCGAACACGTCATCTTTCACAACCGGCGCTCACTCAGTGATGGATGGGATCCCAGTTTGCACAGTCCCGTGACTATCTAGTGAAGATTTGAAGTTTAGTGATCCTTAGTGACCGTTTAGGGAATTAACCCTAGGTATAAACAACAATCTCCACTGTCAAATGAGTAAAGAGAACTTATTTGCTTTAATTTTTACAATAAATTTTAAGTTTTATAAATATTGTTGGGTTTTTTGATACCCAATAAATCAGGGCGATGATGTAAATCGGTTTTAGTTGGATTATACTATATAAGCCTCGGCCGATGAGTGAAGTGAAATGTCGATACTACAATCGAACCAATCGAATCACGTAATCCACTTGGACCATTTGAAACAGCCTAATTATATTAGTGCTGCTCATGGCCCAACCCGAATGACTTGGACGGCTTTAAGGTATTAGCCCACTTATCCATTTCCTATTGGGCCTATCAGTTTGACCTAAAAGCCTAGACCTATCCCTAATCTATTTATTTGGTTGACCATTATTATTATTGGTATGGAAAGTGATTGAGGCAGCCGTGTTTTTCTTGAGGAAGAGAGATCCCGTTTTTTGGCTTTGTGCTCTTGACTTTGTGTCTCCAAATTGGTGGTATACTCTTCTCCATGTTTCTTAGCCTTTGTGGTTAATATACATAGCTTCAATCCCTCTCCATCTTCAAGTCCTTAGTGGGCTGTTTTTCAACTGAAGCAACCGGTCATTTGGGCTCGTGTGAAGGTGTTTGGCTTGTTGATTCGATTGGTTGATTGTAGTGTTCGATTCTTGATTGACTGAGCCCGGTTCTTGGTTATATTTTAGAATTTTAAACTTAAGTTACAACATGAATAAAAAATTTGTCAGTATTAAAGCATCGAGGTATTTTGTTCATCATATTTCCTTAAAATAACTTCAAGAATTGAATCGTTAGATTGCTTTCTTTCTGTATTCGTTTATGTTGTTGATGTATCATTTGCCTCTGAAAGTTGCTATCCAAGAAGAAGATCTTATACCCTGTTTAATGAATTACAGATACTTTTAGAATGAGTACGAGAGTATCCCTGAAGATACTTTTAATCTGATTCAGGCACAGGATTCCTGATTTCACTTTCTCCTAAGAGATTTCAATGACTGCTTCCATGTTCCACTGAAATTGAGGACTGGCTCTGGTTGTCTTAAAGATTTTTTCCATTACTGATTAATTTAACTTGGTCCGAACTGGTTGCAAAAATTATTCGAGTGTTTTGGCGATGTAACAATAAATCAAGTGGGACTGAAACAGATTTAGATGACTGATCTTAAGTTCATTGGAAACGAGATTTAGTTCGTTGAAGTTATTTCTTTGGTAGAACGTCAGCAGTATACCATATTGATATTGGTGCTCTTCTGCTACTAACAGAGTGAGCTTTGAAGCTCACTTGTCTGTTTGTAAACTGAACTTTCCCTTTGGAACTATGCACCTTACCTTGTGGAATATGGCTTTACGACCATCCAGAGGTTGCCTTTGCATTCTATATTACAAATTCCCTTTACTTAAAAGGTTCACTTTGATCTCAGTAGGCAGTAATCACATGCAACCAACAAACTGATCAAATAGATAATTAGTAAGTTTTGTAATCATTTGCATCTATAATCAGCAATATTCACCTTTAACCTGTTCAGTTAATGACATAAAGAAACTACTTCAAAAAATAAAAAAGAGAGAGAGAAAAAAAAAACGTAGTCACAGTAAAAATATGCCACTGATGTGATTTTAGAGTATTTCCAAAGTCTCTTCGTCGTTAAACTCAACTGAGGAGCCCCCGGATATCTGCACTTACAAAATGATGCACGAACATATATTGAAGATATGGAAAGATTATAAAATTATTCTTCATGGTGGTTTTTCTAAATTGGACAGTTTTTTCAATTTTGTCGAATTATTTTCCTTAATAGTTGGTCATGTGATTATCATGCGGTCTTTCCTTTTTAGACCTAGATGTAACCTATAATATGATATTTTACTTTCAAATAGTAAAACAAGCTTATTACAATTTATAATATTCTAACAAACAAAGTGTTAAAGTGGAGAGAAATCATATAAAAGAAAGATAGTGGTATCTGAGCAAATTAATATTTCGTATTATCCCACTGCAGACAAGCACAAAATTCTTAATATAGATGTAAAAGTACTCCAGCATAGCACATGTATATTATGTTATATCCCGAATACTCCAATCATATACATTTATTTAGTAGCAACATTGTATTCTATGGAACCTATACATGTACATAGAACCTATAGTAAACCTCATGTAATCACATAAGAGCACGTTATAATATAATAAACATTGTTTTGCATTATAGTTGAAATGTCACCTACCTTTCTCCTTGCACTATCTAGGATTCAAGGTCTCCTCAAAATTTCGTTGAGTATTGACACTCGTACACTTTGGGAGTGATAAAATTCTCATCTACAGATTATTTTTAATATCATAAATTATATTACACATGAATATCTTATGGATTACCTACATTTGCCAGGGACTAGTGCTTACTATTAGTGAACTCAATGTTATTTGATGTGCTAAAGAGTGAGATCAATTGATACGATCTAGTGCTTTGAGAACTGATATGATTTAAAGTAGTGAGCACGTATTCACGTTCAAAATCCGTTCACCTATATTTGGTAATGGCCAAATCATTTTTATGATTTTATCATAAAGAAACTGTTAAAGAACAATCGACTTTTAAGTGAGAACTTAATTAGGACAAAATGGTCATTTTAGCCAAGATCTAATTATTCAACATCAAGAGGGGATAACCATAGTTATTAGACCTGACCCAGACATCGACCTGAACAAGGTACCGGGTCTCAGGTTACTGGTTGAATCGGTGGGTCAATGGTCGGACGGGTGGGTCATTGCATAAAAATTTATAAGAAAAATTTAATATGAAAATTTTTTTAGGCAAAATTATTATTTTTCACTAATTATTTAG